GTACATAGACTTCATAAATGGCTCAGCATCACGAGTCGGCGTCTTAGGGACACCATCAACGGATTCATGATTGTTACCGGCGGCGACCGCTCCCACAGCAGTTGTTGATGCGGCTGCTGCGGCTTGCCGGTTAGCAGCAGAGTATTGTTGAAACACTAAAACCGAAGCATGCATTGTGAAATTCGACGAAGCTAATGTATCCCCTATTGTTCCTAGCTCAGGACTACTGCTCCAATCGTTTAAACCGGCGGTCACCGGAGAGTCTGAGTTATATCCTCTTCCGACAACGTAAAGATCATACGAATTCTTGTCTTCCATTTCTCTTATCGTAGAGATCGTGTCTTGACCATCATTTACCACTTTTTCGATATATGTAACGGAAGAATCGTTCATAGTCTTGAAATTAAACTCGTAGATGCACTCATCGTCGACTTGTTTCTCCCTCTCGTATTCCGCCGCGACTTTTCCGGCCGAGATTAGCGCATCGCGTCCGGGGACGAATCTTACGACAGTGAGTTTAATCACGTGTTGTCCAACCATCCGCCAGGCGTATGATAACGCCTCGCGGTCGTCTGGACCGCCCACGAAGAGCATTGCGACTTCTCTCTTCATGGCTTCGCCACGGAACGACTCAGACCGGACCATGGCCATGCCACGGTCCACTAAAATCCCGACCGAGCAAGGCGCGTGGTTCAAAACGTTTTGGGTAATTTCTGCGTGAGACGAGTTTCCTTCTCCCATCCGACCGTCCGGTGTCAAGTGTTTGTGGTAAGGCAAAATGATAAAGCAAACTCGCTTGTCCTCGGCTAACACGCATATGTCTTCATGCATCGTTGCATAAGGAGAGACCGCGGTGATGGTCTGAACCGTCATAGCGTCATTGTTCACTTCCATAGCTTCGAAGGTCTCAGCGATTTGGTCAGACTCTGCTCTGACTCTGTCCGAGAAGTTAGCTTTTGGTTTGCATTCGTCGTTCATGATTAGCAGCGAGGCAGTGGTGCGACCGGTGAGCTCCACAAGGTGAATGGCGAAGACGTTGAGAGGTGATTGTTTGGTCGCGTTTGAAACTCGTAAGAGATTGGTGATCCCAGAGACATTAGGGAGAATATGGACACAAGCTAAGACGCGAAACTCTGTTTCGCCTTTGATCTTTTGGATCGTACGGTGCTTGTAATGAACCAGTTTTTTCTTGGGCTTGTATGCAACTGCGAGAAGAGGCTCGACCACTAGTGACATCACTAGAAGCGCGATCATCATATGAGTGTACATTGGACTATCAAGCGCCTGCAGATGGAAAAAAAAAAGTTGGACTATGAACAAATTGAAATGAC